TTTCGGCTTTATATATATATATATATATATATATATCAGTAAAAGAAAGATTTAAGGCGTTATCGCAAGGTCAAAGATTATGCACGTTATTGAATAAATATTATAGATTAATCGAAAGCGATCTGGGTTTAAGGGCCGATATTCGGCAGAAAAAACAATGGATGGCTAAAGTAGGGCCGTGGTCGACAAGAAGAAGCAACGAGGTAACGAGAACCCGCCGGACGAGACAATAGTTTTCCGGTCGCCGAACAAAGCCCATAGCAACAGCCAAGTCGAGTATAATCGGCGCCGACATAATAGGGGATAGGGAGAAAATCGTAATTGAAGTTATCTTTGATTAGAACATAAAATTGGATCGTGTATTGAAAATGATTCATAGATTCGATTGATTAGAATCACGCGTTGCGTTGCGTTGCTGCTTATTCACCGGACGTTCCGAACGAAGGGACGCGCACGCGGTCGCTCGCATCCGATCTATGTTGCGATAAAATCCTAACGATTAGAGAATGAAAAAACAAAGTCTTCTGAAAGATATTGAATTTACAAAGAAAATCAAAGACACAAAGGTTAAGATAACGACGACGACGATGATGATGATGATGATCATGATGATGATTGGATGATGATGATGATGATGACGATGATAACAATAATGATAACGATTGGAAGTGGATAAGAATAATATTTTATTTTAAGGTATCTTTTTTAGATTGCATTATGAAGAAATGAAAGGACGATTAAAAATGATCTCTTGAAATTAAAATCGACTCACCTGATGATACCGTCCTCTCGAGGACCTGTATCAATTGAACAGTCGTTGGGTCCATCTGCATGGTGCTAGGAATTTTTGTACGACGCTCTTTGTAAGATATATAATGCAATAGCGACACGAGACTCCTTACGATATCGTCCTAACGCGAGACGTTTTTTTCTGATCGTAACCGGCGGATACCCACATGTAGTCACTACCGAATCAACTACCCCGACAAGGTTCCCCTCTTCTTCTCTTTCCCCTTGTCTTTCTCTTACTCTCTAGGACGCTCTTGCTTTTCCCTTCAACGTGCGGCGTAGTGATATCCCACAAGCCTCCTCGATATCGCTTCTTATAATTTCCTTCCTATCCTCGTAAATAGACGAGATCAGAATAATTAACGATAATAAAACGTTTAGATATTTATCAATCGCCCGAGCTCGATTAACGTTAAAAAAAAATCGTATATTTATTTGGCACGAAGGACGTAAAAAAACGTGACGAAGCTAATCCTTCCCTCTTGCCCTTCTTCCTTGTTCTCTTGTGATCGTCGGCTTCCACTGGTCAACCAAATGAGGACTATTTTCTACGCGTCTCGACCCTTCCCTCTCGAAAACGCATGCGCGTTGCATTTAATAGCGCCCCCTATTCGATCCCAGCGCCTAAAATTGCACCACTGCTGCCACCGAAATGAGGATGACCGTTTAAACCGGCTGATTTTCAATTGGGTTTGAATTTTTGAACCGTTTTCCCTACAAACGCCATTGGCTTTTCGGTACTAAGAAACAATATGGCCTCGAAAACTAGAAACTATTCAATGCTTTTGGAAAGACACGCTATTATGGAATTTGACTACGTTAATAGAATCGTAATAAAATATTCATATATGTATATATTAACGTGAAATGATCTTTATTAATTTTCTCGAAAGAAAATGTTTTTTTTTAAAGATTTTGGGGAATTTTTAGGAAACATTACATAATATTCGATAAATACAAATTTTATTTTGTTATTGCACAAACATCCTGTTTCTTGAGTAAGCTGCAGTAAAAATATAAAGGAACGCATTCAACCGATTGCACAGTTAATTAGATAATATTCCACTAGAGGGCAGTGGTTATCACAAAACTTACCTCGGTCGGCATTGCAGATTTCTACATTATATAAATTATCTGTCGGCATTGCAGATTTCTACATTATAGATTTCTCTGTCGACATTACAGATTTCTACGATATCATAGAATTATCTGTCGGTAATACAGAACGATATACCGATCGATAAAGAAGCTCCCTTGATCACGAGATAAATTTTAGTGACTTTCTTAAGCAATCAACGAACTAATAATAAATTTGAATGATTCCATATATACAAACGGTTATGTAAATTTCTTAGGAATAAAAATTACGATTGAATTTCTAAAGAAAAATAAAAACCGGATTTTAATGGAAAAATCTGCAAGAAAACGGCAGATGCGCGTTCGTAGTTTCTACAATGCGATGCGTACAAATAAAAGATTTTTTAGCTAGCGAGATTGTGACCCTTCGAAGAAAAGAACCCTCCAACTTGTCCCATCCTGGGGTGGTGGGGGGGATTAAATAATACACATATAAACGTGTATCAAAAAACTTCTGTTCGGTTATTCAATTGACACAAAGAAAAAAAGGGAATTTTTTGGACGATGGACTTACGAAGAGGGTTGTAAGAAAAATGTATCTTTCATTTTAGTAGATTTAATGAAACGATATACAGAATACATTCGCTTTCGTAATGCATCGCAGCGCGTGCATTGCGCGTGCCTTACCATCTATATCACATGTCAATTTTTTTTTTTTTTTTTTTCTATTATTTATAAAATATAATCGTTATGTCATTTTTTTTTATTCTCACGTCGTGCCTTTGAACTGTTTCTTCCGTCATGTCGAAAGCATATATATAGATATATATATATATTTATATATATATATATATATATATATCTAAACGTGCGTGTCGTGCGTGCACGCGCGCTTTACTATTTATATACGTCTATTTCTTTGTTAAAAAAATGTCCGTATATGCTGGGATGATCTATGCATTCGAGCGCACGTGGCACGCGTCTCACCTTTGCGTACACGATACCAATATATATATATATATATAATATACATAGGTAGGTATATACATATATATTTCCTTATACGTATATAATACGTATATAATACGCATCCATGGACACGTATTTATATATGATATACATACTATGCATATATCGTGCATACATATGCACACGTACGCACCGCTTAAGCGAGAAGTATCGTGTGGCTTGGTACTGAATTAAACAACGAATCAGGCCTCGAAACGTCTTCGTGAAATGTGCACGCGCGTAATTAATCTTTCATATATATATAATATATATATATATATATATATATATATCTTTATTTCACTCAAAAATATATTCTTTATTGAATTGAATAATAAGAAATTATGGAATTGAAAATTTGTCTTTATTTAATTAATTTATCTTTTTATTATTATTCTTTTTCTCTCGTATATATATATATATATATATATATATAAAGCCGAAATTTATATACGTTCGTTTCGAAATGAAACGAAAGGACGAACAATTAAATAATGCCTTTCTTATATCCATTCTTCCCATTTTTCTTTCGTCCTACATTGAGATTGTCGTATTTTCTTTTTATTTGACTTTATCGTCATCATCATCATCATCATTATTATTTGCACTAGTTCACAGGCTCAAAAATTCGTCCGTTCGTTGCCAAATAGACGAAAATTCGGTTTTCTCATTGCGCGGGCAGGCTTCATCGAACGTCGTCTCGTATTTTATTATATATCACTTACGTTTTAAAAGTCGTGTGTGTGAGAGAGAGATCCTCGTGATCGATGGCTTTGCCAAAAGATTACGTGGGCGCGTGTGTTACAATATACAAATTGATTATTTTATTTTCGGTACAACGTCTAGAGAACTTGCGATGCGGTAGTGGTGGTGGTGGTGGATGGTAGGTTGGTTGGTGTACATGTATGTGTGTATTATTGGTGATTGGAGTGCACTCTTTGCATTTATTATTGTGCAATTAGGAAAAATTCGCGATTTTTTTTTTCTTTTTGTTTTTTTTTCTCTTATTAGACATAGTTGCGTTTTTATTCTCTTATGTGTTTTTTTTGTATTTAATTAGATATTTTTTTTTTTCGTTTTCGTGTTTATTTTTATTCTTTTTTTTCTTCTTCTTCTTTTTATTTTTATTTTTGCACGCGAAAAAGAGAAAAACGCAGCAAATGATGATGATGGCGGGCGGTGGGCTCTTGGCGGCATAGTTGGATCGATCGACGCGAAAACGAGAACGGATTTATATCGTTCTTATATTGATTTTATTTAATGATTATTATTCAATATATTAGGACGGATACGAACGATAACGAGAAGTAATGATCACTTTGATCAAATTTTTGTGGGTCTCGTCGTTCGTCTCGTAATTTATTTTTCAACGCGAATTGGGAAATGAAAAAAGGAATAAATGATGCTTCTGATTTATTATCTTCTTCTTTCGCGAAATTTAATTAGATGCACAACAAAACGATATTACATAAGAGAAGAAGAAGAATACAAAAAAAAAAAAATAATAACGGGAATCGTAGTCATCGTCATCGTTGATTGTCGTCATCGTAGTCGTCGTCGTCACGTTTTCATTCATCGAGATAATAATTTTTTTATTTAATCCAAAAATATATATATGTATATATATAAAAATAAATCAAAGATATATATTAGAGAGAACAAAATTATTTGTTGATCGAACATATATATATATATATATATATATATATTATATATTATATTTATTTTATACACACTGATAAAACGGGGCAAGGGTTGTTGTTGGGGGGGGGTGAGAAGGGGGATTATTTTACACGAAAAACGGATCTGATCGTTGAATTGATTTTTTTTTTTTTTTTTTTTTGTTTTGTTTTTTTTTTTCGTTTTTTTTTCTGTTTTTGTTAAGTTGCATTATATTACACCAATAGAGACGACGCATATTAAATATTGAAAATTGACAGCCATGAATTTTTGTTTGTAAAAAATAAAAGATAAGAAAGAAAAAGACGGGCGGGCGGGGGGGCGGTCTCGTTTCATTTGTTTAATTAGAATCATTTTTCGACATTCGAACGATCCGACTTTGCCTTTATTTTTTCTCTCTCGTCTATTAACCACGTTTTATATCATTTTTTCCAACCCCATACGCGACACTTCCGCTTTTTCCTTATATTTCATAAGAAATGTTCATTCAATTACCCACGAATATAATCCTTCGACTATCGAATCACAATTTTTACACACACGGCACTTTGTTTAAAAATTAATTTACATCGCGAAAATCATCCCCAAAGTTCAAGCTCTCAGAGAAAGATAGAACTAATTGTTGCATTAATATTTAACAATTAACACGTTCGCTGTATTAATTTAATTGGAGAAAAGAAATGCACGGATTATGAATATTTTTCTAGATACATAATAATAATAGTACAACAAATAATAATTTATAATATATATATATATATAAAAATTGCAGAAAGATGTCCAGGGTTTGGGTTTGTTTTTTTTTTGGGGGTGGAAGGTGTCCACCTTTCGAGAAAAATAAAATTTTTAAATACGATCTCTGACTGTAGTATAAAAAAAAAGATATACTAGTTCTAATAGTTTAATTTCTAGTTAAAAAAAAAAAAAAGAAACAAAAATGCAATGTGAATAACGTACAATGTATGTTTTACGATTTTATATTGGACCACGTTTTATTATAGGGTTGGAAATTAGACAGTTCCTAATTATGTGAAGTATACTAAATAAACTAAAAAAAAGTATTTTATATAAATATCACACATATACATGTGTAATATATATATATGTGACAGATAAATTAAAAGAAAAAAAAATCAATTAAAAAAGTGTGTCACGTTTTTTTAGCGAACGTGTCGAATATTGTTTGAATGTTTTTTTTTTCTTCTAAATTTTTTAAAAAATTCTCTGAGAACTCGACTTGGCGCGCGTTATATTAATTAAGAAGGAAACATTTTCTTTTTTTATCGTATCGAAAATAATTTAAATCGAACGCAATTCTACTCGTTCAATCTATAAGTCAATTTTTTCGATGATATCGCAATATACGAAAAGATAAATAACTCATCGAAATATAATAATTTCTCGGTGTCCACCTTAATAATCTTACTTTTATTTTTCTGTCTTTTTGTTTGTTTGTTCGTTTGTTTGTTTTCTTATATCATCTTTTACCTTGCATTCATATTACCGGGCCATTTTTTCTTTTCTTTTCTTTTCTGTTTTTTAATATTATAATATTTCGAACATTTTTTTCTAATCGCAATCATTCTCAAATACTCTCACGCACGTGTATATTGCATATATATATATATATTTATTATATATTGCAAATATCGATATTTATAATCGATAACCCTTCCATTCGACTGTCGTATTATTTTACACATTGATAGTTTAGCGCGGACGATAATTATTAATATTTATTATTTTATTATTATTCATCTTACTCTTTTTTTCCTTTCTCTTTTTTTTCTCTTTTTTTCTTTTTATTTTTTTATCGATCAAAGATACTAATTGTAAACGAAACGTAAAAAAGATATAGTATATACGTATATATATATATGTATATATGTATATACTTTGTTTTTAAGGAACGATCGTATAGAAAGAAAGGAGAAGGAATGAAGAGAAAAACGAGAGAGAGAGAGAGAGAGAGAGAGAAAGGGGGTTGCGGATAATGATTCGAAAAAGGGGGACAAAATGGATAGAAGAAAAAGAGAAGAAAAATATTTGTCCGAGGATAACATCGAATATACGAAAAAACTATAATTGTGCCGATAATTATGAAAGTAATCTCAGTGTCAAAAAAATTGTATAAAAAATCAATTATTTCATATATACCACGTTGTTAAATTTCAATGAAATTAATTCAATATGTAATTTTGTATTTTCATGTTAGATAGTATTTGTTATATTTTAAATATTATATAATATTCATTGGGTGTTAACAAATGTAATTTTTTTTCGAATAGGTAACTGTATGGTTAAACAATTTTCATAATTATGGGGACAATTATGTTGCATCGAATCCTCGAGGTGTTTTTTTTTTTCCCGGTTAAAAACGCTCGGAGAATAAAAAGCGTGAATTATTGTGAACTGGGGGTACACACGGTTTTGTTTTTTTAACGACGCATACACACGTAGTTAAATATTATCTACTATTGTGGAATTAGTACACGTATTTATTAGATTCGCATTTTATTTCGCTCAATTGTGGCTCTTCTTCTTCATCTTCATCTTCATCTTCATCTTCATGTCTTCATATTTTTATTTGTGAATGTATTTATTATAATTTGATTTTATTGAGATGATTCAAATCAATCGTACGCGTTGAAACGAGACAAACAAACTATGATGATCCAGGGTTGCATTTTAAAAATAGATTAAAAGGATTTTAAATCCTTCAAAATTGATGAAAAAATCATTCAAGGATATTTGTATCCTTTCGATAACATTCCACTGTTGTTCCTTCATTCCCTGGTGATTAAAAATTTTCCTTGTATTAATGTTAGACGTTTGTGACCACCATTTCTTCTAAAGTAAGATAGCCATTGGTCATCTTCATCAGTTGTTTATATTTCTCGTCGTCGTTGTTTATCGTCGCGTAAATTTTTTGTTCACGAAGAGCCATCCGATTAGCGTAAATCCTAGCGCGATTTAACTAAGTGGATCTTTTTTTTTTTTTTCTCTTTTTTTTTTTTTTTTAAGGAATAGTGGTAACAATAACACAAATTGACGACAAAGGTATCGATGGTAACAATGTGTTGCTGTGGTGGTAGTAATAATAATAACGCCATAAACTAGTAGCACTAGTAATAAGTAGTAATGGATAGTAATAATAGTAATTGATCTGGTGGTAGTAATAGTAGTAATAGTAATAGTAGTAGTAGTAGTAGTAATTAGTAGTAAATGGTGGTGGTGATGGGTAGTGGTAGTGGTGATGGTGGTGGTGATGGGTAGTGGTAGTGGTGATGGTGGTGCTGGTGGTAGTAGTAGTAGTAATAGTAAATAGTAATAGTAGTCATAGTAAGTAGTAGTAGTAGTAGTAGTAGTAATAATAAATTCTAGTAGTAATAGTAGTAGTAATAGCAGCAGCTGTAGCGCGGTATACGTACATATATATATATACTATATAATATATATATATAAATAGGACTTTTTACGTTAGTTTGATTAAAATTAAACGTCATAACGTAATAGGTAACTTTATGCCGAATCCGTTTGGTAAACCGCATTTCTCACACACAAGTAGAATATTTTCTTTATAATTTATCGTGGTTTTACCAAGACAGGATTCGCGGTTTTCTTTCCTTAACTCTCTAAAATCACATAAACGCAAGAGTAATGGTAAATAATGGGGGTTTGTTGGTCGATGTTAAAACAATCGACCTCACATTTTGGCACTCGCATGCAATTAACGATGCTCGATTATTATTGGTGCCGAAACGGGTTTGCAGCATCGAATATATATTTCGAATACTCTCTTGCTTTATTTAACTCTCTCTCTCTCTCTCTCTCTTTCTCTCTATCTATTTCTCCCTTTTATTCTATTTTTCACGTTCACCTTTTTTTTTCTATAATCATAATAGGCACGAGATAATAATATACTTAACACGATTCTCATTAATTTCAATTAATTTCATTTAAGATTTGAGATTTTTCTAAATAGACGAAAAACTTTCATGGTGGTTATTGTTCCACACCACCTTCTCCCCCCTCCTCCTCTCCGTGCCCCGTTTATCCCCCATTGAGAGTTTGCACGCTTATTAAACGCGTGATAATTTGATTTGTTTAAACAAATAATTACCACGCGTATTTTATACTTATACTTTCATATCTTTCGTAATAGGAAAAACAAATATATATATATACATATATATATATATATATTTCGAGATCAAAAAAAAGGTTTAGCAAGGAGGCATCGCTGTTTCATGCGAGTGCAGCCATAGCCGCGTTATAATAAACGCTTATCTATCGTTAAAGGACGAAGGAGAGAACCCGTGTGTGTGCGTCTAGGTACATATCATTTTCTCTCTCTCTCTCTCTCTCTCTTTCTTATACACATTTTTTCGTAACCTTTTCTATTTTCTTATTTTTTTTTTTTTACAAGACGACAAATATTTAATCGCTCACGTTCGCTCCTTCGTCTGATTTTTCTGATATGTTGCAATATCGCCAATGCATATAATATATTTTCTGTGTGTGTGTGTATTTTTTTTTTATCTCATTTTTTTTTTCATTCCATTCAAAAAATAATGCGCGTGAGCTTTGGCCGAAAATATGATAAAATAAATTGTTGTTTCTTTTCTCTTTTTTTTTTTTAAATCTTTTCCTTCTCGTTCTTAACTCTTTTTCTTAGTTGTTTTTTGTTTTTTCTTATAATTTAATCTAACGCCACACGTCAGACAGAGATCGACGAAGAATCGACGAATAATCGAACGAAGATTAAACGATATCGGTGCTTATTTTTTTTTCTTTTTCTTTTTTTCTTGTGTTTTTTTTTGTTGTTTTATCTATCGGCGACGTAATTCGTATAAAGTAGGTAGAAAAGTGATAAAAATTCTATACACATGTGGGTTAGTTTTTTCTCTCTCTCTCTCTCTCTCTCATTTGTAAGTACATCTCTTCTATTCTCTTTTTTTTTTTTCTCACACGCAAAAACGAACTTTTTATTTTCTCTCTCTCTCTCTCTCGCTCTCTCATTTTAAATATCTCGATCTAAAATCTAAGATAAGAAAGATAGCAAAATGTTACACGAACAAAATTTTTTCGCCGATATCGTGTGTGGGGTACGTAAGCTTTTTTTCAATTGCTCACCGATTCTCCGATCGTCGATCGTTTTTTTTTTTTCCTTTTCGTTTCCTACCATTCGACAGCACGGGCAGGTAACGTTATGATATATATATATATATATATATTAATAATAATAGTAAATAAAATAGTAATTATATAGTAACAATAATAATAATATAATAATAATTATAGCAATAGTAATAATAATAATAATAATAATAATAATAATAGTAGTAACGCATACGGAGCTTCAGGCACGCACATTGGGGGCTACTTTTCCTTAAAATTTAACTCCGACAGCGTAGATTCGCGCTTATTCTTTCTCTCCAGTCTCTCTCTCTCTCTCTCTTTTTTTCTTTCTTTCTTTCTTTCTTTCTTTCAACCAATCACATTCGTTCATAATTTTGCGAATAATTACGCAAACGCAATGATTGTACATAATAAATACACGGTACAATTGCGTACGCGTAAGAATATGCATCCCATTTACTACTATATATATTTATATAATAATAATAATAATAATAATAATAATATATTAAATTCATTCTCGGGGATTTAAATTCGTAGGATCGTAGATAAGGGTTAAAATAAAGGGGGGTGGGATGGGGGTGGATAGGGGGGACGATATATCCGTTCAGCTGCTTCTCGAAGGTAAGCTCATTCGAAATGACAAAGAGAAACACTTAGAGAAAAATTTACGAATTGCGTGAGAAAAAAGAAAACAACAAGACACGCGTAAAGGAATGAAGAAATAAAGAAAGCCATAGGCTAGGTTTAATAATAATAATAATAATGAATTGAAAAGAAAATTAATTGAAAAATGTGGAACAACCATAGGGGGTTGATAATCATTGAAGACAATTGTCATATACAAGAATTATAAATTAGCCTTAGGCTTCGTTCAGGGTGTAATTGTAGGGATTGGTAATAGGGATGATTGTGTTAGTAGTTGGTGGTGATGGGTGGTACAGTGATAGTGTGACGAAGGGAGTAAAGGGAAAACGTTTAGAAGGGTAGACTACCGACAAACATTGTTTCAATTAGCGGTGGCGCCGGCACGAGATCCTCGAGTTTCAGGTAAAAAATCCTTTGAAGACCTTGAACCGAAAGGCTCCTTAATTCCGGCAGCTTACCGAGAAGACGGGACAGGTAATGGGTTTTCCTTTGGGCCTCGGCGTCATAAGTTACATGGTCGCGTAACGACGAGATTATTTTCATCTGCAGTTGTTCCATACGATGGGGTTCCTTCAACCCGTACCTCTCTGAAAATTAAAGTTTTCGGACGTGTGTATGGTTGGTCATGTCTTTTCTAATTGTTCTATGGATGAGTTTCCCCAGTAATTTCGTGCACGCGGTTTTACGGTCGTCGACGTGCATGCATCGCGTGCAACGCGCAAAGTCAGACGATAACCGATCTACCTGATCGATAAATAATTGATCGGATGGGGAGGGGTAGGGTAGGGGGTGTACCTTCTACTATTCTTTCCTTCAATCGAGAATAAACAATGATTTGGCGGATAAGGATTAGTCCCATAGTTGAACGTACTACTATTAAATCACTTACCGGTAATCAGGGTAAGTGCACAAAGACAGGCGAACGCGCTGATATCAACGTCCAACCCGTGAAGGGATTTGCAAAATTCCAGAATGCTGTGCAACCAGTCGCCGAAGCTACGTTGACATTGTTCCAAAGCTAGGACTACCCCATTGCAAAATGTTAACTTGGTGTCTTCCGGTTTGGTACGGTAAGCCAACCTGAGGACGAATAGTTCCAGGCTGGCAGATTGGAACAATAATTCCTGGAGAAAAGGGAACAGAAAAGATTTTTATGTTTTTATGATTCCGTTAGGATGCGTGAGTTAGGAAATTTCATAGATTGGCAATAGCACGACGACGACAACAACGACTTATCGTCGAACAGTAGCAGGGTAGACGGTTCGAAAGCTCGTCTTGTCGAGAATGACCTTTTAGAAAATGTACGAGGTATCGATCTTTGTCGTCTTCGAACACGGGTATACACAATGCACAGACACGATCGAAAGGAACTCACCTGATCCTCTCGTGCCAGATCCGTGAAACCAGGTATTTTGTCGGCAAAATTTCTAATAACATCGATCGAGGTAGTTAACAGACTGTAGAATTGTTGAATTTTTTCTGCCTCGGTTACGGACAAATCACCTGGTCTCGATTGTCTGTATTGCGAATAGTCGAGATTCATACGATCCGGGGTAGTATCCAAATGGGCACGAACCAAAGCCGTGATCAATGATACTGGGGGACTTGGCGGGGATTCCTGGGGTGATTTTGGTTTAGAAGGTAATCTTCCTCTACGGCCCTTCAACGAGTCTGTCCTAACGACCTATTGAACGAATATTTATTATAATCATCATCTTATTCCTAAATCAAATGATAATAATCATGATAAATGGATAACTTACTTCTTTCACCATGCCGACCATCAGACACTTTTGGAAGCGACAAAATTGGCAACGATTTCTACGACGTTTGTCGACCGGACATGCTTTTTCGGCTAGGCAAACGTATTTGGAACCTTTCTGCACCGTCCTCTTGAAGAAACCCTTGCAACCCTCGCACGTACGCACCCCATAATGCTGGCAGGCTGCTGTATCACCGCAAACGGCGCACAATTGGCTCGGGCTTGGTGGTGCACGTTCATTGGTGGTAGTACCGCTTCCAGATGACGGGGGACTGACTGATGAAATAGCTGAACTCGCCGTGCTCGTAGTGTTGACGATGCTCGTGATGTTCGCGTTACCAACAACTGGGCCAACTCCACCGCGTGCCTTTGGGGACTCGTTGCTGCCACTACTGTCGGTGTCAATCAAAACGGTTCGATAATCTTTCTTACTTCTTACTAAAAGGATATACGTAATATAACAAGGCGTAAAAGGGGGATTTGTTTGCATTTGTTGTTTGCTAATGCAAATAATTACCTTGCCGATTCGGACCTTTGGGTGGGCAAGGATGCCCTTCGCGAACGCGGAGGACCTACGACGACGTTCTCAAGGTTCGGACAGATATCAGTTGGTGCAACCGGAACTGATACACTTGCACCACCACCACCACCACCCGTGATGGTTGGTGCTTGACCATACACCATGGGTACCGTCACTGCTACTCCGTAAGGTGAATCTTGCCGATGACTTGAGGAAGGTGAAGGCATCGTTGCAGTTGGCGTGGGTGCTGTTTCCGTTGGAAAGTAACCTTGGTGATGATGGTGATGCGTTTGTGCCTGAGTCTGTTGTTGTTGTTGTTGTTGTTGATGAATTTGGGGATGATGGTGGTGGTGTTGTTGTTGCTGTTGAGGTTGTTGTTGGGTATGGTGCTCGTGATAGGTAACACCCGATGTGAATTCGGTCGAATAATGACCAGCTCCGCAGGAATATACCGAATTTTCGTAACAATCGTCATCCATTTTGATGCCGAGACCCTGGAGTTCTTGTCTGGTATATCGTTGCACCGTGTAGGTCTCTTGGAAGCTCGGCAATGGTGTGGGACTATAATAGAATTATCATTCTATCTTTGGGGAAACGGCTTGGAGAATTTATTTTTTCAATTTAAATTCATTTATATTCGTAGATCTGTGTGTGTGTGTGTTTGTGTGTCAATATTTCGGTTCGATTCATATTAATCTAACGGTACATTTGATGTATCTTCATTTTCGAGTTATATAAGATTAAAAGAAAATGTGTTTATTAAAAATTAAAATCTAAATAAATACCTCAGCGAATCGGTTTGAATTTCTTCGGGAAGGGGTGGTGGCGGTGGAGGTGGTTGCGCCGTTTGATGATGAACGCTTTGTTGCGTTTGTGCAGGTTCATCGTTTGTCGGCACACCCTGCGGATTACCCAGCTGCAATTCTGGAAATGGATCCAGTTCCTCCGGCAAACTTCCGGCATCTGCAGAATCCGTGTAGGGCGCGCTCAACAAATCCGCGAAACTGCTGCATCCAAATGGACTCTGAAAAATATTCATAAAATTTACGTGTAAATCTATGAAATATTTTTTTTTTTATTTTAACGAGAATTTTCTTTTTAAGATTTAAATCCAAATGATAGTTTTATCTTTTTCCACACAGAAAATTATTATAATTATTTCAAATTAATCGTTTAGTGGATGATAAAGAAAACTCTAGTTAATAATCGTAATAAAAATCCCTAGTTTACTTTCGTATCGATGAGGAACGGTGTTTTTTTACACTTATCAGTCGAGACATCGATGATGTATACGATCGAGTTGCACGACTTAGAATGCTCGGAAAATCCGAGTAAGTATCGCGTGTTGCTTACAATCTGCCGTTCGATAGAATCAATCAAGTGTTTTTTTTTTATTCTGTCGAAAGCGCAAGTACAATAAAACAAAGAACTAATCATTCCTTATATCCGAGTATATATAATTATAGATATTTTCTTTAATAAACATTTCGTGATGTTTATTCGAATGATACAAATAATTTTGATGGGAAGGAAACAAAAATAATAAAAATGATCACTTTTGTCCGAAAAAGTATCGAAAAAGAAAATTTGGTAAAAACAAAAAATTACAAATAGAAAGGAATGAGATAGAAATAGAGAAAGAAAAAGGAAGTGATGGGGGAAGTAAATTAGAAAAAAAACAAATTGTGGTAGGATAAAGATTGAGAATATTCAATTTGAGTCAATTGTTCCGCTTATGGTTGACATTTTGTTCATCGTTCCCTCGAGGGACAGAGAGAATGGCACCGCAAAACTTACGTTATTCGTGTCAGGGTATTCTAAAGGGCTTCTCGATGCTAAAAATGATATTAATTTTGAACACGGTTTTGGTTGATCGAGTTGATTACGCGAAAAGTGCAATTCTTTCCTTTCTATATATATATATATATTATAATGAAAAGAAAAATAATAGAAGGAAGGAAGGAAAGAAATAAAGAAAAAAAAAAAGGTAAACGAGTAGGATAACGTAGGTGAGTTTGAATGCAGATTACGATAGTGGGTTGGAATGCAGACGGAACGCGATGCTAACCAGTCAGGAATCGAGATGTTGAAAACAGGAGGTGGATGATCCTGATCCCGGTTCTTGAACCGTTATGTACCAATCTATATGATATCTCAAAGTTCATTTTATTTCATTTTAAAAATATAATTACTGATTACAGATCTTAACGAATAAGAAGAAAATTGATATATAAAATTGTATAAAAAATATTTACCGAAACTTTTCAAAGAAATTGCAAAGATGCACAATTTACTGCATTGCCTTCTCTGACATTTTTTAAACTCTACATGCTAAATTTATAACTCAAAAGAGTATTCTACGCGTAGACAAGAGAGTGGACTTTAATTTAATATAAAAATTATTCAAATCCATTTGCTAAAAGTATAAAAAATATTAACCGAAACTATTCAAAGAATTAGCAAAGATGCACAATTTACTGCATTGCCTTCTCTGACATGTTTTAAACTTTACATGCTAAATTTATAACTCAAAAGAGTATTCTACGCGTAGATAAAAGAGTGTACTTTAATTTAATATAAGTTTCATTAAAATCTATTCACTTTTAGTATAAAAAATATTTACCAAAACTATTCAAAGAATTAGCAAAGATGCACAATTTACAGCATTGCAATCTCTTTGAAAAGTTTCTATATATATTCGTATAAAAATATCTTTGTCCGTTTATTAAAATAAAAATTCTCCAAGTTGAGTGGTGGTTTTGGTAGAGGAGAAGGGGTATCAACAAAAAATAAAGTTTCGAATGTATGATCATAAATTTACCTGTGTTTGCAGTAGAAGCATACTTGAGGCCACTGTAAATGCCGTCGTGGTTGTAGTAATCGAGGTGTGATTTGTACAGCCAAGAACCGGAACGGTAGCTGTTGTTTGTCTTTGTTGTTGTCGCTGCCGATGAGGCTGCTGTTGTTGTTGCTGCTGTTGCTCTATTTCGTTTCTGGTAATTGCAACAACACGTTGACTACCGTTACTGTTGTCGCTGTCGCCGTTCGGCGAATGCAACTGCCCTGTAAAACAAACATAAAAAAAAGAAATCATTTTAATTTGTTTATAATTAATTTTCCATCTTCTTCTTCTTCTTCTTATTGTTACAAATACTCTCTCGTTATTTTATCTTCCTCGACAAAAAAACAAAGTCAATCAATTCGAATGTTTAAACACACTTTTTATCATTCAACATTGAAACGAATCGAACGATCGAGAAAAATGGGTCACGTGCATTGTACACCTGGCTTGTTGAAATGAAAAAAAAGAAAAATGTATGATCGAAAATAGTTGGTGCCTCGTTGTATTATTACACACTAGAACAAAGTTTCTAAAGTTTCATTTCAAACGTGATATCGATGTGTCGGATGTTTCTGTTAGAAAAGGCCGTTCCATTATCGAACTGTGTATGCCATTATTGGTTTCAACCTTATAGTTCTTTTTTTATTTTCTATCTCATTATTTGGATATACCTGATATCTATTTGTATAATATATTACGTTTTGTATCAATGTTTGTAATGATCTTTATCAAAACAATAAAATTGTATAATAAATATATAACACGTACAATATCTTTGATACGGTGACTGATCGTCCATGACGATCATTTCATACGATTGGTTGGAATTTCAAGAAGAAACAAATCAAATATTTCCAATAGAAATATTCTAGTAATTTCTAGTAATATTCTAGTTTTGGAAGCTTTGAAACAGGCCTGAGTGGGTTTTTGGTACCACGGTTAATTGTAAAATTGAATTAGGAGAATCACTAGTTCACTTTTATCTTCATTTTTCGTAATTTTTTCGATGATTACTATGAAAACCTTTTCCCGTCGTTTGTTCAAAGACTTTTGCTTGATATCAGAAGGACAGTCTTCTCTTTGTCAACTGAAGCCTTCGATGCTGATGCCTCTTCCTATATAGGGTCGTATCAGCACCCCCAGGGAGACATGAAATCGTTGGCATTTAAAATACTACCACCCCGTTCTATAGACGCAACCCTGCTAACACCACCCCATCGTGATTATTATTGCACGATATTATCTCGAGGGATGGTTGGACGGTTCTACCTATTTTTTCTTTTCTGTTTTGTTTTTATTTTTCGCATAACTTGTTTCTTAAAATCGTTTTGTTTTCAATGAGTTAAAAAAAAATATATATCAAAATGTTTCAATATTTTTAATATATTAAATAATATTAATGCATGTTTATATAAAATATTATTTTGAGATATATTTGACAAATCAATCTAGCATTTTTGTTTGAATTCTTTATACAAAATTTTGTTCAATTATTTAAATCATTTTCAACGAGCAGGACAAAAATATATGAAAGTGTTTTAATATCTTAAAATATTTGGATATACAAAAAATATATTAAATAATATTAATGCATGTATATATAAAATATTATTTTGAGATATATTTGACAAATCAATCTAGCATTTTTGTTTCAATTCTTTTTAGAAAATTTTGTTCAATTATTTAAATCATTTTCAACGAGTAGGAAAAAAATATATAAAAGTGTTTTAATATTTTAAAATATTTAGATATACAAAAAATATATTAAATAATATTAATGCATGTATATATAAAATATTATTTTGAGATATATTTGACAAATCAATCTAGCATTTTTGTTTCAATTCTTTATACAAAATTTTGTTAAATTATTTAAATAATTTTCAACGCGACTAGGAAAAAAATATATAAAAAATGTTTTAATATTTTAAAGTATTTGTAGATCAGAAAAAAATATATTAAATGATATATTAATGTACTATAATATTATCTATAAAGTATTATAAATCTGTAATCGGATACGATGACAGCCGGATGAAATCACCCCTACCCTAAACCAGTATAGTAGTCTATCGAGATTAACGATAAGAATTCTCACACCCCGTGACTTTTCCGTTGTATGGTAAAACATTCTCAAATGGTTGAACTAAATTGCGAGATCTTTCACCGTGGCAGATATCAATTTAAAAAAAAAAAAAGAATAGGAGGGGAATGTTGATACCAGTGACGACTATTAGGGACAATAGTGTCACGGTTATTGCTAATGAAAAGAACTTCGATGAGGGTAGTGGGACCAAGCATATTTATCTTGTCCCATAAACTCATAAGATCTCATTATTTTATATCTCGTTACGGGTACCATAGATTAAACCTTTTTTTTTTTCTATTCAGAAAATTGTTATATTTATTATACGTTGTCAAAGATTTCGGTATATTTGGTAAAAATATTTGATTATTTGACTAATTGAAACGTTTGTTAAATTATGCGATAATCAAAAAAATATCAAATAACCAATTTTAAAATTCAATTGAAAATCATTTTAATCGGCTTGTGATTTCTAAAATTTCGAGAATAATTGATCCTAACAAATAAAATATATTATTCTCAAAAGTACAGTTCTACAAATTTAAGAAATCCCGAATTGATCCGAAAAACAATTCTCAACCTGAAATTTAGTGATTCTCTAAGACTTTTAATAAATTAAGAAAAGAAAAAGAAAGAAAGAGAAAGAGAGAGTTAAAGGTATCAAGTAAATGTATAAGTAAATATGTTTCCCCACCTACGTAAAAGAATGTTAGTATAGGGTGCACCTGAAGAACAGGTTGCACGTGTAAGATGAAAGAACGTGGTTATCCTCCTCCGAGACAAGTAGTTGGGTTCGGTACAACTCGGGACAACTCGGTTCTTTCTCGGCCGACGTAGGCAGGGTAAAGGTAGAGGAGAGGAAAGGGTAGGGTGTCGAGTGGCAAGAGAAAGAGTAGGGTTTGCCGAACAGCGTGTGCCAAGTGGATTACTGCGGTCCACGCGTCCCTCCCACGAACCACGCCCCTCCACGTGGCAAGGCACGATTGCCAGCCGTCCTTGTCGCGTGCATCCAACTTTTCTCCCACCCTTCGACCCTTTCCTCCCTCTACCCCGTTATTACCCTATGACGAAAACATTTCAAAGTCAATTTGAAGTAAAACATGTATGGTATGTCAATTATAGTTACAGGTAATTAATTTTTTCTGTAGTACGTTTCCAAAATTGAAATTTTTCGCAACACGGGAACATGATTACAAAAATTGCGACATCTTTTTATTTTTCTACAGTACTGAAGTGGTTGATATATTTAAAAATGAAATTATTTTCAAATAGTAACGCGAAGGAATAATAGTATAAGTTTGTTTATTTTAGGATTGATATAACACGGTTTCATTCAACGTAACAAATTTGAGGAATCTTATCTTACCATGTTATAGGAGGATTATCTATACTTTCTTATTGTTAAGGAATATATCTATATACTCGGTGTATAAAATATATCTTTGAACATTGTCACCGACGTTGGAGAGAAAACTAACGATCGAAAGTTGAAATCAACTATAATATAGCTTTTAACATTTCGTTTGATATAGCTCGTAAAATTGAACGTTGGCAAACTTGAAGAAATGTTTTATTGTAAAAATACTTGGCCGTTTAACGACACATAGATCGGTATAACGTGTGGCCTTTGATTTCGTGGCGTAGGACGTAAATAGTGTCTTTTAAACGAACGATTCTTCTCGTCAGGCAGATAGATACACTCCTTTCTTTTTTACCAGGAGGCGGTAATACATAAACATCGAAGAGGCGAAAGATAAATTCCAATGAGTTATTTCTAATGTAACTTCACTTGTTTCATTCTCTCTCTCTCTCTTTCTCTTTTTCTTTCTTTCTTATTCTCGAAGATTTTCTACTTTTCATCAAACCAATACCAATCATAATACATTTATCAAATGTTTGAATATTATTGAAAGAAAAAAAACAAACTGAAGTGTGTATTTATGCACGCACGTAAGAAATTATACTTCTTTAGCGTATACCAAAACGAATATAACCAACATAACCTCAAAAATAATTTCAATTTTCCCGCGTAAATATCTCGACAACTTCGTGGTGTTGAATTTTTCAGTCGCATCTAACTTCACTTTCCAAATACGCGCCAAAAGAAGTATGCAACGTCGATTAATTCATCTCTTATTATAGAATACAAATTGCATTTAATTCTATGTTTATTCATTTAACACGTTTTGTGGGAAGCAACTTGTTTCTTGACTCGTTGTTCAAGTCATTTGATATTTAGCATATTAAATAAATACGAGTGTGTGTACCACCGGTGGTACACGTGGCACGGAACGTGTTAACCAACACAACTACTACTAACTCTCTTCTTTTATTTTGGAAAACTTGTTGACAAAATAAAAAAGAAATAAACTCGGGCTGAAAGATTAAACGATTTTGATCGGTTCGTTCATCTTGTATGCAGGCACACCTAAACGAGCTGCTGCTGTTGCTGCTGCTGTTGCACGTTCTTCTTATATTATTATACCTGCGTGAGAGAAAGTGGTTACTCGGAAGAGACGCGTAATCGCGTGTAAGTATAACCACGACGACGACGACGACAACTAACGTAAAACATTTGTCGAGGATGTGTGTCTTCGATCGAAGCTCTTTCAATCCGAGAACTTGGTGTCTGGGTAAGTTGGTCTTGGTAACTTGGTCTGGGTAAGTTGGTCTTGGTAACTTGGTCTGGGTAAGTTGGTCTTGGTAACTTGGTCTTGGTAAGTTGGTCTGGGTGCTTGATCTCAACTCGGCCTCGACTTCTCGCCCACACGTAAGAAACGGTTTCCGGAACGGGCTTTGTACCGCTTGAAAGATTCCAAACGAACGAACGAATGAGCAAGCAAGTAAGCAAGCAAGTGAACGAACGAACGATCATAATTAACCCTTTCACTGCTAAGTAAGAGATATTCCTGAAATCTTCTCGCTATCTATCCTTATTTCCTTTCATTTATTTTCTCGTTTCAATCGTAAAACCCTAACGAGTAGGTATATCTCACAAACAAAACTCTTTGGTATGTATATATTTCTCTTTCTTTCTTTCTTTTTTTATTTCTTTTTTGCCAATTATATCCCTATCCGAAACGTTGAATTATTTTCCTTACACGAGAATTATCGGACTTGTATTCCCCAATACGC